GGGGTTGTGACAACACTGAAAGAGTCTGCACACAAAGTTGACTCTAAGGTTTTTACACCCAGTCACAGGTGGGCTCGATCCCGACACCTCAACCTCGCTGGATCACAAGCCTGACGCCTTAGCCAGCTCGCCCACAGCGAGTAACAACATTCAAGCTTTCCTAGACTTAGATGAAGGAGACATTAATATCGCAGTACATAAGTTACTGGATATATTAAATAGATTCACATTTCTAGACCAAGTCATCATCAGTTTCCAGACCGAAGGTTCGAACTCAGCCTGTTTGGTTCGGTGACTAGTGTCTCCAGGCCAAACAGGTTAAATAATCACGATTTCTGAACCAATTAAGAAAATGTCGCACTGCTAATACTGTTGATCAGTATCTCAGTGCAAGGAGACATTTTCGTCAGCTGTGTACATCTAAGCAAAGGTTACATAAAGATAAAATAATGCAGGATATAAATGATGCCATAACCGACAGGGGTTGTCAAATAGTTTGGAATGAGATTAAAAGACTGTTACATAATGGTAGCTTCACCTGTCACATCACCATGGAATCAAGGTGTGAGTATTTCACAGACTCAGTGAACCCCAGCATCATCAACGATTATAAAGAATTTGATACTACCGTAAGGGAGTTTATTATAAGCCATTCAACATTGGACCGTGGTTCCTGTAATGCCACTGATCCTCTATCTGATAACGTATCTCAGGATGAAATTAACAAAAGCCGAAATGCCCCTATAAATAATAAGTCTCCGGGCCCTGATGGATTACCCGCGGAATTCTTTCAAAATGCAACATTTATCATACCGTATTTAGAAATTTTGTTTAATATTATTTTGGAAAAAGGTGTGTTTCCAAGTAACTGGAATATGTGTATGATTGTTCCACTATGTAAGAAATATTCAGCAAAGGACCCAAATAACTACATCGGAATATCTTTACTAAATGTAATGGGGAAAATATTTACATCTAAGGCTAAGGTGTTGGCTCGAAGTGAACCGGGTTTTAGCGAAAAACATTCAACTTTTGATAATATATTTTTGTTACAATCTTTGTGTCAGAAATATTTCAGAAAACTGAAACACTGATTTTATGCAGCCTTCGTAGATTTTGGCAAGGCCTTTGACCTCGTAGACAGACACAAATCATTATACATATATTACAGACACGGCGTGTGCATGGTAAATTCTTTGATATATTCAAATGCTTCTATGGCCAGGTGAAGCTTGCGTCAGAGTAGGGAACAGGAGATCATCTGTGTTTGACACATATTCGTTGTACAACAAGGATGCATGCTTAGTCCTGCACTTTTTATCTATTTCATAAATCAGACGATTTATCAGACGAACTCAAACAGTTAGGATTACGAGGTATATTTGTAACAGAAAGTATTGAGGAAATCACCATGAGTGCTTTACAGAGAAAACGTGATGCCCTTGATAGCTATTGTAGACAATGTGGACTTAAGGTGAATTTAGAAAAGTCAAATATTATTGTGTTCTGAATTGGTGGCTACCTAAAATCAACCGAAAATAGACTAATAAAGGATTTGAAATGACGTCAGTATGTTATTATTAATATCTTGGAATTATATTTTCATCAAGACTATGTTGGTCTAAAGCCTGTGAAACCTCAAGCAAGCTAGCAAATCATTTTTTCCAATACAGCAACGTTGGAGAAAATACCCAGCTATTCAGTTTAATAGTTTAAATTTTTTACTCCAACGATCTTCCAATTTTTTTGTACGGGTTCGAAATTTCGGGCGTCATGCCAAGGGAGGTAATAGAGAAAGTACAGGGAAATTTCTATAAGAGATGTATAGGTGTTAGGTCAACAGTCTCAACAAATGCCATCCTCGGTGAGTCAAGCAGATACCCACTATGTGTCAGATATTTTACTCGCTGTATCAAGTACTGGTGTCGATTGATATGTTTGGAATCTAGTTGATACCCTAGGGCATACCTGATGCTTTAGGTCTATGATGATAGTGGAACTTGGGTGTTAAGGGTTCGATTATTGCTATTTTACACTGGTATTTCATTTGTCTGGATCTCCCAGGACTGTGGGTATGTTGACGTATTCATTCAACAGTTTCAACAACGTTGTAAAGATATCAAGTTCCAGGATTGGCATTGTAAGATAAACATTTCACATTACCTCGGTGCATTCAGAAATGCACATAACTTCACTTGCATTCAAACAAAATATGAGAAGAATTGTTATGTAAGTTTCGTTGTCATTTACATAAGATGAATATTCAGCAGTATCGGTTCACTAAGAATGTTGATAGAAATGCAATGTCTGCTCTAAGTGTCAATTACAGCAAACTGAAGATGAATATCATTTTCTGCTTGTTTGTCCTTTTTACGCAGAAAGTTGTCAGAAGATTATTCCACCTTATTACCAGGTAGACCCATCCCATGTCAAGTATTATCAGTTGTTATCATCAACTAATGAGAAGCATTATGCTATCCTTAAGTATTTATATGAAAAGAAATCTGTCAATCTTAGTATATCCTACGTAGGACTTAGTATCTCCTACGTAGGACTTAGTATCTCCTAAGTGGGTATCTCCTACGTAGGACTTAGTATCTCCTACGTAGGACTTAGTATCTCCTACGTAGGACTTAGTATCTCCTAAGTGGGTATCTCCTACGTAGTACTTAGTATCTCCTACGTAGGGCTTAGTATCTCCTACGTAGGACTTAGTATCTCCTACGTAGGACTTAGTATCTCCTACGTAGGACTTAGTATCTCCTAAGTGGGTATCTCCTACGTAGGACTTAGTATCTCCTACGTAGGACTTAGCATCTCCTACGTAGGACTTAGCATCTCCTACGTAGGACTTAGTATCGCCTACGTAGGACATAGTATCTCCTACGTAGTACTTAATATTTCCTGTAGGAGATGATCGATTTACGTTTATATAGATTAATCTGAAACGGTCGACTTAAATCCCCAGACACTCACACAATCTCCTGTTTCACTCACTGTGAAAGTCTAGAGTCATTCGTTTCATTTACTGGTAGAGTCTACTTTCATGTGTTTCATTTACTATTAGTCTACTGTTTCTATGTGTTCAACTAATTGTTGCACATAACTGTGTTGGACCGACTGTTATACTTTACTGCCTTGCGTTCAGTTTCTCTACTATTACGCGTTGCAGTTAATTCACTGTTATATGTTGCACTTTGTTACACTTTACTATTATGCTTTGGATATTTCAGAGGTCGTTGCACATGAATCATAATCTGCGTGCATAGACGTGTCTTAGACTATCGGTGGCAATCTATGTGTACGTATCCCCTTATATTTATACAAATAACTATAATGACAATTCTTTGCCTTTTTGAATTTCGTATTGTTTTACGCCGCACTCAACACTTGTCCACCCCAGTCAAGTCAACCTGTAAACAATTACGTTGCATCCGATCCAACCTAGTCCCATCAAGACAAGCAACAACTTGCTCGGGTCGTGTTATAACCCGAGTTTCATATCAGAACCTCACCCCAACCAACCCAACCACCTACGTAGGAGATATTAAGTCCTACGTAGGAGTACTAAGTCCTACGCTTTCGTAGTGTACACATTAACCGATGTATTGTAAAACAAATTTGTATAGTTGAAATGATTAGTGTCAAGAGTTCAAGAAATTATAACTTTACTACTTTTTTAATCGTTTCGCAGAGAAAAGTCATGCCGCATATACTGCTGTGCACCCTGGTCTCCTTCCTCCTCACAACACAGAGAGCTTCTGGACAGGAAGTTGACACCACGCATGGCAAAGTGGTTGGTCTGAGCACTTCCGTGCTTGGCAAGACCATCGACACATATTATGGTATTCCTTATGCAAAACCACCCATAGGTGGCCGCAGGTTCAAGTACCCGCAGTCATTGGACCCATGGAGACCGGAAGTCAAGGATGCACGTACAATGAAACCGTCTTGCCATCAACCAGTAGAAACTGCAGAAGGAATGCCATGGAGATCAATTCCTCTCAACTTCAGTGAGGACTGCCTCTACATCAATGTATGGACACCAGCTAATGCCACAGAAAGTACGAACCTCACAACCATGGTATGGATCTATGGCGGATCATTTCAGACCGGATCCATCAACATACCTTTGTATAATGGACAGTACCTTGCTGCTGAGAAAAACGTCATCGTAATGTCCATGAACTATCGTGTAGGAGCTCATGGATTTATATTTCTTGGACATAATACGTTTCCTGGCAACCAAGGTCTTATGGACCAGGCTCTTGCCCTGCAGTGGATTCACAACAATGTTGGAAGATTCGGTGGAGATGCAAGCAAAATCACCTTGTTTGGAGAAAGTGCAGGTGCAGCCTCAGTTGGTCTTCATGTGTTATCCCCAATCTCACGTGACCTCTTCACGCGTGCCATTCTTCAAAGCGCGGTCCCAAATGCAGTGTGGGCATCCATCGAACCTTCGCAGGCTATCAACAGCACTAGAAGACTCGCAGAGCTGTCGAACTGTAATGCAAAATCTGATGCTGACATTTTCCAGTGTATCCAAGATCTACCACCAGAAACGATAGTAGAAAAGCAGGCCCTCGTTCCAATTGATGGCTCCGCACAATTCAGTCCAGTCGTGGATGGTTATTTCTTACCCGATTCTCCAGCATCACTCGTTGAAAAAGGGCAAGCGAAGCAAGCGGAAATCCTTCTGGGGGTGAACAAAAATGAAGGTACCACATTCCTCGTTGAGCTTTTGCCTGCAATATTTTCTCCATTTACGGATCAGCTTAATGTCAACAGAACACAGTTCCTGGAGACTGTAAGAACCGTTACTATTGGACAGTCCTCTGCCATTGTCAGAGCTGTTATAGCTCAGTATGCTGATATCTACGTCCCTTCTCTACACCCAAACTTCGTGGACACTGCTGACGACGTCTTTGGAGACGGTTACTTTAAGTGTCCCGCTACCAAACTAGCTGCCTCACATTCTGCAAATAACAATGTTTACCTGTATTCCTTTGATCAAAGAATTGCATCGTTCCCACTACCACAGTGGATGGGAGTTCCTCATTCGTTCGAGATAGAATCGGTGTTTGGGCATCCTCTCGGGGATGCCTTCACTTCGACAGATGTGGATAAGTCAATAAGTCGGAGCATGATGACTTACTGGACGAATTTCGCTAAATCTGGGTAAGTACCTGTTACTGTAGATATGAAAGGAATCGTGGTGTATATTTGACAGTGACGTAGCCAACTTTATGCAATCTTATGCTGCCTGCCTGCTTGGTTAGCGTCACTGGTTACATGGGAACAGTAGTTTATATCCTGTATGTAGTACATGTGTGCTATTTGTTATGGTGTTTTTAATTGCCTAATGCGGTTGGATACAGTCAACCACGTTATAAAGAATCCCTGCTCCACTCATTCCCTGTGAAATTTGACGTGGGTGTTATGGACTGTATACCTCTCATATCACACCAATAACAACCATTGTGTTTTTACCATCTGATTGGGACTATATCGGTCTAGTAGCTCTTTCTCCGTTGGCCAGTCTCGCTTTGTATTGTAATGAGAAATCCATATGTCGTGTGTTTTCTTTATAAATGCAAATATTGATAATTGCTTACAATGGTTGGTAACGATAACTTACTAATCATACCAGCAAGTGGAGAAATCTTATGTTAAAGGGTATTCAATCCATTTTTACAGAAACCCCAACCTTCCAGAAACACCAGACTTCCAATGGCCGACGTACAACTCTATGGATGAGCGTTTCCTGGTCTTTTCCTCGTCCGGACTGTCCACAGAGCAGGGCATGAGAAAGCAGCAGTGTGTGTTCTGGAACACTCTCCTGCCGCTGATCACCAAGAGCGAGGACACCGGCTCTGGCAGTAAGTCTCTTTTATCATCCCAAACTGGCTCCCACTGTAGATATCGCTTGTGTGAGATCAAGTTGCAGATAAAGCAACAATTGAATTGTCATAATGCTATTACATCATCAGTTAATGAGCTCATAATGCTTTGACATCACTGACATGTTTGACATCACAGCTGACAATGCTATTGACGTCACGAAGTTGATGACATCACAATGCTATGACCTCACTGAGTTTACTACTCATGAAGACTAATGACAATTTTGTGTTCAGATAAAGTTGGGTTTTTTATTGATAACCGATGAAGAATAATTTTGGATGATAAATAAAATCTCACCCTCGTGTCTGCTTATATCAAATATATCAACACGAGTTGATTACAATTACAATTATCCGAGGCTTGCCAATTATATGCCTGACTCTTAAGGTGTGAGTTCGAATCCCGAATGGGACTCAACCCAACGGAAGTACTAGAATCTGTACTTTACTACGAAAGTGTAATCCCAAATGTAACATATGCTACATTTCATGTTACACTTACCATATGTAGTTGTTCAATAACAAGTTGGTATTTTCAGTATTTTTACAACTTCATGGGGGAAACACAGACGTATTGATTATGCCTCAATAAAGACGCTTCAAGGTTGAAAGAACACAAATCGATCCCTATCAATAAAGCAAGAGGTTACACAAAACAGACGCTGAACAATTATCGATTGACAAACAATGGTTACCAGTGTCAATAATTTGACAGTGGATCTTGTACTTTCGTAAGTAGATTATAATGTCTTTATCAAATCAATTCAAATCTTTATTGCATGAAAGGCTATAAGACCATATACAAAAGAGGTACATATTAACACTGGAATAATTATATAATCAACTTCTAACTAACCAATTCTTCTCTTAGCAAAACTGCATTATAAATAAATAGGACTACTTTGTGTTGTTTTGAAGGGTCTTTGCATGAAAGTAAGGCAATAATTCGACATTTATATGAGATATAGGCAATTGTGGTACATTAGTATTTCTTAGAATTTCATATACAGGACATATAAACATAAACTGGAATACATCTTCAATAATGTTACAGAATGGACATACCCTTAGGGTCTTTTCCATAGAAAAATATCTTCCACGCTTAATTGCTAGATCATTAAAGCCTAAGCTGAAACGTGTAAAAGTATTGCGAACATTTCTTTAGCGTATGTGAGCTAAATAAGACTCTGCTTCATATCTAGAACTTTCATGAATAGTTGAATGCCATTCCTGCTTAAACATATCAATATCCCTCATCGTCTAGTGTCTGTGATAACCAAATACAACCAAAGCCGTATCGACATGACAAGGTGCGAGTATGTGATGTCCAATTATTCTTACCAAGATAATCAAGATGTGGAAGCATATTTCAAGTTGTTTAGGTAATCGATGTTCAGGCATATTACTTATTTTACACCACTATTTTAAACACAAACAGTAAGACGATATGTACAATAGAAATCTCCCACAGTCACCATAAACCATAGCATTTAGCGTTGATAAAACAACATTTAGAAACTTTCTACAGGTAAGTAGATTAATGTTCTCTGTGGTGTAATACTGTTAACACCCCTTTTTCAGATCCATGGAGTAAAATCGGTTGCATTTGAGAATCAAATAATTTGAAATAAATAGTCGGTTGGAAAGCACCGTACAGAGGATCAATAGAGTGAAGTTGTACAAGAACTTTCTTTGCTCGTCTCGCCAGGTTAATCCCAGATTAGTTCTGATTCAACGTATGGGTAAACAATATGCCAATGTATTTATGATCATTTATAACATTCATATGTTTATCTATAAAACAAATCTCTTACCCGACAAGGGACCACCTGTAAGGAATATATAAGCAATGTTTGATTTATCAAGATTCACATTCAACTGCCATTTATCTGTATAGTCTATGTAGTTGATTTTGAAGACCAATAACTGAACTACACACACATAAGAATCACACCATCAACAAATAATAACATGAATAGTTCGATTAGTTCGGGAGAAGGTTGGACGCCGTGTTCACCACACTTCATGATATCTAAATATAATTCGTTTATAAAAAGGAGAAATGTTGAGGACTTCAAACACATCCTTGACGTAGACCGTCGTAAATCTAAGTATCTGCGTGGGGAAAAGTATCATCTTCAGAGATGAGAATATCGTATACGTAGATTTAAGTATCGTTTAGATAGATATAAGTATCATCTACACAGAAATCAGTTTTGACAATGGCACTAATATGCTTTCATATTATAAGTCTCATTGGTAGTGTGACGAAGCACCAGAACTGAGAGTGCTCCCTGTGTTTTTATTACTAATGAACTTTTATTAACATATACTGGACAAAAATAGTTAGGGATATATGTAAATTTTGTTTGACATCAATCATAAAAATACCAATATCCCTAAATTATTTTGTCCAGTATATAAGTCATTCGGGACCCTTATTGTGCAAACACAAAACCTACATTTTTGCTGAACATGATGCTGCGTATCATGGTGGACATATTTGATTCATTATATTAGTGAACAAGCTTAGTCATGGTATCCGATTAAAACGTATCAAAAAACGCTCAAAGGCGCTGGTGTTTCTGCAACCAAGTCTTAAGCATTCCTGATTCTTCTGTTTCAGCAACAACTGGGAACGTGATTAACAGATGTCCCAAAAATGGAAGCAGGGTGTCGTTTGCTGTGAATACGTGTCTCATTGCTGTACTTGCAGCATTAGTGAGTGTTTAAACATGGAGCGATATCCTCAATGTATTCGCTGAAAAATCACAAAATATTTCCCAAAAATAGAGGCTCCTCTGACTTAGGGACAAAAACATATATATGTTCGATTCCTATTACATGCTTTTTAAAAATAGGGTAGGTGGGTCGATTGTAGTTTTTTTGACTTTACTGAGAATGTATTCAAGGATACCATATCATGATGTTACAATGCCTTGTGGTGATACATTGAAAGAGTTCTATATCAAATCGTTATTCATGTTAATTATTTGCAGGTTATGTCAGTGAGAGCCCATTATGCCAATTCAATCCATATTAGCCCTACGTACACTGACAAAACATGAAAATATCATACTGGGCTTGGATGAAAATGATGAGTTGAAATGTGCTCCAGTCATGATTTTGACTTGGTTAAAAATGGATTTGAGAGGGGTGGGGGGTGGCGGGGTTGTAGGATAGGGTCGGTCGGGTAAGCGGTAACGGACATATATTTTGCACAATCATGGCATAGTACATAGCTTTTTCATTACCTTTTGCTTCTGAGAGTAAGGGACCGCCTCCGTGGTGTAGTGGTTAGAGCGTCCGCCCGGAGAACGGAAGGTTGCGGGTTCGATCCCCGACCGCGTCATAACAAAAGACGTTAAAATATGGTACTTGTTGGTCCCTGCCTGGCGCTCGGCATTAATGGATACAACAAGGACTGGTCGGCTCGGAGTCAGTATAATGTGTCTGAGTGGGGTATTCATGCTTCACTGCGGCATGGTATCTCAGTGGGCTAGCACTATAAAACAGCTTAAGTCTGGGCTAGTACAAGCAGCCGCACATACACATACACACGCATGCACGTCGTCATATGAGCGAAATAATCTCAAGCACGACGTTAAACCCAATTTCACCTCACCTCACCTCACCTCACCTCACCTCACCTCACCTCACCCCACCCCACCTCACCTCACCTCACCTCACCTCACCTCTGAGAGAAAGATGCAACTGACTTCTGTTGAATTTAGGCAGAAAGAAATCTGCGTGTCACAATTCGTCATGTGTTGACACGTGAGGCTTATATATAATCGATGATTACCTCCAATAAATCCCAAATTCAAGTGCCATGATTCGGAAGAGGTCACTGTGACCGTTGCTATTTGATAATAAATTCTGTTTCATATTGTCATATTTGTAACACAGCTTCTTGAAATGGTCTCAAAGAGATTGCATTCATTTCGTCATTTTGTACAAACAAAGATGCTTACCTAATTAGCCATTTTATTTACACGCGTGTTGCACGTAGACTCTTTTATAATAAACACTTAGCCTTTCTCTAAACATCTAAATACTTTATCTGCATGCTTATTTCTCGTAGATTCTTTTCATTCGATTCTCTCCGTACCACTGCGTACATTTTTAGGACAACCTGTTTCACTTAGGTTTATATGTAAATACGTTAGCATGGCTTGTAACACCTATTGTTTGTGATCGTCATTGTTAAATACTCTGGACACCTCTTCAGCCGAAACTCTTACTGGTGATTTGAATCACTAACATGATCACTAAAAATTAATTTCCTGTACAAGCATATTTTATACTTATATATAAGCTGTGATGGAAGTGCTACCTGTCTCCCATCGAATTATATTCATGGATAGGCGCTGTTTTCTCAAAATTGATACAAAAACTGGAAGAAGGACACATTTGGATGTGACAATATATCAATAGTACTTAAGCGTCAGCACATATATTTTCATTTACTGATGTCTTGTTCTTTCACATTGATCTACAATAAACAATAATATATTCGTTTCACTTGCTGGTTTTCATTACGGTCAGTATAATCGAAATGTTTGGTTTTTATGTTACACATATTAAAGAACATGTTGGAATGGCAGATGCAATATCATCCGAAACGATCTTCTTCGTCCTTCCTCGATGGAAGGTCTGGTTGAGGTGAAGTCTTCTACAGGGAAGGTTTCACTTAGATTAGTTTACGATGCCCGGCTGGCTGAAAATCGGCAAAATTGAGAGATACCCGGCGGGGAGCTGGACGATAATCCGTGGGCATCGGAAATGTTTTTGACATCGGAAATTGCCTGTTGACACATCGTAGACAAATCGGAAGAAAATAACTAAGAATATTTTCTTACGGCGACCGGTGGTCCACAGTCCCACCTGTAATGGATCTGTGGCACATCACCGGGGGCTAGTGATCCAGCGAGGTTGAGGTGTCGGGATCGAGCCCACCTGTGACCGAGTGTAAGTACCTTGGAGTCAACTTTGTGTGCAGACTCTTTCCGTGTTGTCACAACCCCTAGTGTACAGTACACAACCCTGTGTACTTAAAAGAACCCCCGAATCCGTTGGTAAATGACCAGATGGTGGCCGCATGAATACGTGCAAACAACTAGTTGCGGGTACAGCAACGTTCAGTAAACTTGGACAAAGTACTGTGAATATGTGTCCCAGTTCACCCAGCTGTGAATGGGTACCTCGGTAGGATGGGAAAGCCACAATAACTCGGTGCGCCTAGTGGTTGCAAGAGTTGAATACTCCCCAGGGAGTTGCGATTGATAATACGATGTGCGTTTGAGATTGACATCCAATGATCGAGGGAAAAAATACCAGCGCCATGAGCATGCACTAGTTGCCTGGATATGTGCGCTATATAAATATCCTATAATAATAATAACCTTCCGGCAACCCACCAGTGACCCTACACGCACCTGCCACACATCCAGGGAATCGGAATGTTTTCAGTGCGCTGGTGGGGCATGGTCACCGGAGAATAGCAAAAAGGTTGTCTGTAGGGAATCGATCAACACTCGGATTGTTCCCGTTCGTAGGCCGTACGATTAAACTAAATCTGAAGGTGACCAGCCACAGTCAAACTGACATCCAATGTATATCATTCAGACACCGGGGATCTTGACGTGCCTGGTCCAGGCTATAAATAATGGTCTGAATGGGTTGAGCAGCATACGTCATGAAGATGCCTGACCCACCACATTTGCAGAGACAGGCCCGGGTACGCATGGTGTTTACAGATGTGTCCGACATATATACTCTCCCAAAAAAGAAACGCATATAGTAACTTCAACTGTATTTTTATGTTTATTTTGAAACATCTTGTGGGCTTTATGAGTTAATGAAATATAGCGAAATTGCACACTGGGAATGCAGACTTATCCGTCTTTGGCACCAAAGTAAGTTTAAGTGTCACATGGAGACGTGTGGTGGCGCTGAAGTCAATACCTCGTGTGACCACCGTGGGCATCCAGAACTGCACGGCATCGCCTCTGCATCGAACGAATAAGTCTCAGAATCTCGTGTTGCCCAATCGCAGCCAACTCTGCCTGTAGTGCCTGTGCGAGTTGCTGAAGTGTCTGGGGCTGAGGGTTACGGCGTCGCAGCCGTCTGTCCAGAGCATCCCACAGATGATCGATCGGGTTTAAGTCCGGTGATCTTGAGGGCCAGGGGAGCACATTGATGTTGTGGTTCTGGGGGAAGTATCTAGTGTGACGTGCTGTGTGGGGTCTGGCATTGTCCTGTTGAAACAACTCCCTCTGGCGATCAATGATTGGAAGGAAGTGTGGGCGTAGGATTTCGTCACAGTACCGTTGAGCTGTCAGGTTACACTGGATCATCACCAAATCACTTCTCCTACGGCAGGTGATCCCTCCCCACATAATAACACTTCCCCGGCCTAATCTGTACACCTGGGGAACGTAAGCGTCGGCGAAACGTTCACGTCGACGTCTGTACACCCGCATTCTTCCATCGCATTGTTCCAATAGAAATCGTGATTCATCACTGAACCAGATTCTACGCCATTTCGGTAGGTTCCAGGCCTGAACGTTGGTGCACCATTGAACTCGATGTCGACGATGTTGTTGTCGAAGCACAGGGCCAAAATAAGGTCTTCTGGCACGTAAACCAGCCTCTCTCAACCTGATCCTGACGGTCTGTGCAGAAAGCCTCCTCAATCCGGGTATTTGTCGAGCGGTACTGGTAGCCGTAGCTGTTCGATGACGCAGGCGATGTACCCGGATGTAGCGATCCTGCGCCGCAGTGGTCGCTCGAGGTCGCCCACTACGAGGGGCATCTGCTACCAAATTCTGCCGACGATATCTCTCCCAGAGCTGTGAAATGGTGCTTTGGTGAACATTCATGCGTCGGGCACGTTGAGACTGGCCAGCTTCAAGAAAACCAATGGCGATATGACGGTTGGCTTCACTTAGACGTGGCATTTTGCGTTCGTCATCAATAATCCAAATACAGTGAATAATCGACAGACAGCGATAAACCTTTTATACCCATCATTGATACTATCTGATCCCCCAACTTTCAAGTGCATTGCATGTGAATTGTGTATTCTGTGACACTACACGCCGAAATTGAAAATCATGCTGTTAAATACGGGTATTTTACGGCTGGCGCGTTTTGTTGTGCTGTTTCAAAACATAAACACCATAGGACTCATAAACAGAGCAAAACCTTTTGTAAAATGAATCACGTGTTAATTCATTGCTACATGAAATTGCTATTTTCATGATGCGTTTCTTTTTCGGGGAGAGTATATATTTTGGGAATCGATAACCACTCGGGTTGTTCCCGTTCGTTGACCGTACGGTTAAACTAAATTAGATATGTAGGGGACATTTATCAATCTGACACATCAGTGACCGATATGTGCGATGCAATTCCCATTTAGACTTGTTCCATACATTCACACTGACTACTCTTGCATTCATTTCTGAAAGGTGCAACCGGTGGGACGTACGGTATATTGTTTATTACTTATGTATGTGGGAACGGCCTTGTCGTTATTACAGTATCCCCAGAGTATTACCAAGATAGCTGATTGTGATGTGTCATCTGGTTCGCGTGAGTCGAACAGTGCGGTTAGTTTGCTTTCACAAATATAACGATTTCAGTGCTACGGGTAATCTTTCTCACGGCCCTCAAAAGATCAATTCTAACCCGGGTCTCGTACATTGTAGAGAGGTGTATAAAGGGAAAGGTTTCGTCTCGCACTGTTACTGTATTCAAAATTATTCGGCAGCGGGTCATATATATATACATGACTATTTCACTGAATTAATGTATGCTTAATAGTGAGGATACGTT